ATTATCGACAAGGTGTGCGAGAATAGAGCTCGAGATCGATTTGGTTTCACCTTTACTTAACCAGGCCGGTACGTGTTCACGTACTCTCTTTTCCAGGCGTCTCGTTGTTCGGCCAATGTATCCTGCTCCACAGGAGCAAGTGAAGAAGTAAATGCACACGCTGAGTGACAATAGCACATCGCTCCCAGCCACGAGTGGCAGCCACTCACCCAACACGCCGACCACTTGCGCAGACTGACAAAGTCCGCAGTGACCAACAGGCACCCACCTAGGACAATTATTGATATTTGTGCAAGTGCAAACGTTCATTGTTTTTCAAAGTTAACGGCCTGACGAAGAATTGCCAAAAAACATGTTGTGTCTGATACACTGACTTTTGGATTCTGTCGACAAGCCTTTATCATAGGTAGCCGTAGAATGGTGTGAGATATGTGAGGCGCGCACTTCGCATTTTGAAAGATGACAATTTTCGAGTCAATTGAGTCCTTGAAGGACAGCGTCAAACCGCAAAAGCAGCTCTTGGAGACAACCGATTTATCGAATAGAAACATAACTGGACGTGTGCTTGGCGAGAAAGGGCGAAATTTTCCTGAACATGTCGGCAAGTTTCCGCCTAAACGTCCGGCTTTTTCAGAGCCTCTCCTGGTTCAGTCACGAGTCACTGAACCTATGTATTCTGCGCCTAAGTGGTCTCCTGCAGACCGCCAAGAGGAAGATCACACTGTTTCTCTGCCTTTCTCTGTTGTACGAGTGAATGATAGACGATCTCGAACTGATTCTATGAAAGCATTAAAGTGTTCAGATAGATGGCGAGGTCGCCGCCAATCAGCCCATGCCTCAAACCATTCTACGGTTACCTATGACAAGGTATTCTCGATAGAATCCGAGAAGTCAGGAAAATATAATTCTTGTTCCAGGGATCGCATCTTCTTCTTCAGCTTCTAGACTTAAGGATACGGGGTGGAAAATTAAAAAAAAAAGATGATTATAAGAACAGTCTTGCAAATGACACAAACACATGGACAAGGAACAATGAGAAAAGACCAATGAAAATTAAGGAATGCATATACAGCAAAAACTGAGCCAATGGCAATCGATGAATGACTGAGTAGACACAAAAAGGTCCCTCGGAATCGCGTGGTTACTAAAAAACAATTAGTAGTAAATAATTTAGTTGACCCACTTGTGAAAAAACTTGCGGCCTCGGCGGGAGTCGAACCCGCACAATAGGGAAGGCTTTGCGCAGCCAATGCTCTACCGATTGAGCTACGAGGGATACCGTGCGCCGTGAATTTAATCACACTTGGATGGATATTACCCGCCAAACTTACCGCTCGTACGGAGTCCACCACTACGGAACGGCAAGCTGTTTTATTTAACGAGTTAACTGACATTTAGCTGCAAATGTATAGCCATTTTGTCCCACAACCACTAAATTTTCGACTGAGGTCTTTACTACTTGGCACGAATGACGATTGGATGATGCGTCCGTATTTTTAAAATTATATTTGGCGTGGCTTTCGAATTTAATACTCTAGAAATTTCCTCTAAATACCATTCTCCCTTCCCAGGCAGCCAAATTCCAAGAACTGCCAATTCCAGAAACGGCCCCCCTCATCTTCATAGACCGACGTTTTTACTTCCCATTTGATGAACAAGAAAAATGCCGCTTTCCATGCCGGATTACAACTGACCTGGATCGCACACAGAACGCTTCTGCCGCAGTGTTTACACGCACCCCGACTGCGGCAATGGCCAAAATTCTTAAAGGAGCTATTTGGGCATTTCATAGCATGGAATCTCCGCTGCGGATGCATGAGTTTTATCCAGACTATAAAAGCAAAGTACGTTCTCTGTCTCACAGTTGTCGTGTTTGTGAAACCCCATCATTTTTCGCCCATTTTTATCATACGGTTTGCTTTCCTCCTTTGTTTCATTATTATTACTATCATCATCATCATCATCATTGTAGAGAATTGCATACTCTATAACCAGTTGCGTAAGGCCGGTCTGTTGTTAACTCGTTTTAGTGTTGAGTCCTTGAAATTAAATCAATAACTGTAATAAACCCATCAGAACGGTTCTACAATTGGAGTAGTTTAGAAAAACATGAATATTACGCTTAAAGACAAAGTTTTCAAGCATAGGAGCAGCAAGGTCATGTCAGTTTGTGCGGGACCAAGATAATAAGGTAGTTTGGGGTAAAAAAGGGCGTAATTATCCAAAAAGGGACAATCAACCATAGGATAAATAGTATGGTGTTGATTAATATAAAAATGCCAAATGATTGGCTTTAACTTTAGTGCCTAAGGTATAAACGCTAAAGTGATGCGTCTAATGTTAGAAGGAGGCAAAAAGGTATGCTACTGTCAAATGACTAGACGTGGGATCAACAAGAAAACATACATGAGGAAGTACAACCACGACCACCACCACGACCATGATCATCACCAAGTGTACTGTGTCGATTGTAAAGCTAAAGCGTTTCTAAAGCTCATCAAAACATTGCCTCCGAGCACTTAAGCTTTTATACATAAAAGAACTCCTTTCGAAGATGGCATGCCTGGATTCTTGTTAACCCAAATAGCTTTGCTAACTGCTTGCTATTACTACGGTAAACTATCCGCCTAATAGGCTGTGGGGACACCGCTACCTTTGTGCACTTACGCTCATGGGAGATTTAAACTAAGAATATGTCTTGAAGTTAGGGGAGTTGGCAGATCTGCTTAATTCGGTTGATCCGAGTGTGAAAAATTCGCGGTCTCGGTGGGACTCGAACCCACACAGCAGAGTAGGCTCTTGCGCAACCAACACTCTACCATTGAGCTACGAGGCTCGCTGTGGGCCGTGAATTTCAGCCCACTTGGGTCGATTTTGTCCGCCCAACTTACTGCTTGTATAGAATCTGCCATTAGGGAAACACAAGCTGACTGCCCAGGCAGGATTTCCTAAGCGGTCATCTAGAATTCACCAGAATGTATATCAGGCTCACTTAAGTGTAAGGGGGAAATGGCAGATTTGCTTAATTCCGTTGGGCGAGTAAAATCCATTCAAGTGTACTTAAATTTGCGCCTCACGGTGAACCTCGTAGCTTAATTGGTAGAGCGTTGGTTGCGCAAAAGCCTTCCCTGCTGTGTGAGTTCGAGTTCCACCAAGGCCGCACATTTGTGTACGATTGGGTCAACTAAATGTCTTAAACTGTTCAACTCAGGTTTAGTCATTGAGTTCATCTTGAGCTCTTTTGACCATCTAACTGAGTGGGTCAGTGTACAACTGTAACATAAGCAGCTTTACAAATACAGAATTATTTAACCTATTGAAAGCCCAAATGCTAGCTAAAAGCTCAGACGCGTGTATCGCCGATTTTTTGCAGCGGTATGCCGTAGCTGGGGAGTATTCAATTCACCAATGCATTTCTCAGTATCCTCCATATACCTTCTGCTACAAAAACGGCAGCTTCAGTGCTGCCTTTCATGAAAATATTTTAGAAACTTAATGCGCGAACTTAAAGTAAATCTATCGCAGGAAAAACGCTAGTATCTGCGATCTTCAGAGCCGGTCCCTTCGGAGAAGCGATGAGAGGCCAGAGCTGTAGCAAGAGTTTATTCTGTACAGAAGGAGTGGAGAAAAAACAGGAAGAAATGTCCTTTTGGACCGCGCGTCCATCCCGTAGGTGGCATGGTCAGAGGTGGTTGAGCCTGGCACGAATGCTGTTTGTTAGTCGGCATTGAAAGGTGATTGGCCAGACCAGGGGGCAAGTGGAGGCGTGTGCGCGTTCCTGGATGGGACTCTACGCGGAGTGGGTTACCACAAATCCTTTGAAATAAAGCCTATTAGGGTCGCTTCGAAAGTTAAAATTCATACGTGAGCTGAACTGTTTAAACTTCTGTGGAAGAATCACGCAATATAAACAAGGCACCAAAAGGCAGCCAATTGTTTATACACACACGTCCTTATGAACCATACCAGAAGTAGCTTTTGTTGAATAAGCAGGTCTAGGTTTATTTTGGATTGGTTGCTTGGTTATAACTTATTAGGTGCGTTAAAGTACTTAAGCTTGCCGCCCGCACTTTTGGGTCGGAAAGCTCACGCGCTTTCATTTAAACTACAAGCATCCTTTGTTCGGAGGACCTAGACGAGTTGCAGGCCGGCAAATTTTTGCCATCGACCTGTTCTATATGTCTTTGTTAGCAACCGGTTGTAATTCCAGTGCGTTAAGCGCTTGACATGCGCGCTTTCACCATGGTTACCTCTGTTTGGTGTGATGCTCTTAGTAAGAAGTAGCTTTTGTTTACTGGTTCT